CTCCCATCTCGGTCCCCACTTGCAATTTGCAGCACAAACTAAATCATCATCATTTTTCTCAAACCTCTTGATGTATTCCTATCAGCACTAATTCTCACAATAAAACTCAAAAGCTATCATATCCAATCGCCACAAATGCCCTCATAATGTCCGTCACTCATCAGATTCATCACAACAATCTGAGCCCCTTGATCCCGAAATCATGAGCTCGAAAAACAAAATGCCAATCACGCCGTCCGCCCAGTCTTGACCAGCCTCCATTTTCGTGTCTTGTGCACCTGTTTCGGCTCTTCCTTTCCAGTCCTTATTCATCCCGTCATCTTGACCTCCCGATGCACCAGCGACGTGCTCATTGCCCCCTCGCCCTTTATCTCGCGCGTCGCCGCCTCGAGCTCATTGAGCATGCATGCCGCCGCAATCACTCTAAAGCTCTGCATCCTCTCCTCCTTTCCACCACCCGTTGCCCCCCCTCTCTTGCCCTTAAACATCGTCTGCACCGGCGCGTCCCCCTGCAGCAGCTCAATCTGAAAACACGCCACCGCCATCTCGAGCGATTGCAGCCGCGCCGTGCTCACAGTCCCGTCATCGGCCGCCGTCGCGTACACGACGCTCCCGCCGCCGTCATGCCATACGCCGCCCCGCGCTTCTGGGTTACGGATTAGCTTGACGATCCAGCTCATCAGTCGGTCCATTTCATCCTTCAACTTGATCGACAAATCTCGCTGCTGCCGCGACTGCGATCCCGTCTTGTTAACGATGTCCCCGCAAAACGCCTCCGTCTCGCTTATGGCAGTCCGCGGATTGTGCGAAAACTGCTGCATGTTCTCGTACAAACCCGTCTCGTAGATGCGCCTCACCTTGCGCGCCTCGTCGACCCGGCCCCGCCAGTCTAACCGGATGCCCAGCGCCGCGAGACCCGCCTCCATGATGCGCTGCACCGGTTCCCACACCAATGCCGCCGCCCCGCCGCCGCCACTGCTTTTTTTAGTGCCACCCGTCACCTGCGCCCATAGATTCTTCTCGTCAATAGCTCGGTAAAGCTGGCCCAGAATCTTTTCCGACTTGTGGTACCGGTACTTTGGCCGGCCGAACCCGTCATCGCCCTCGTCCTCCTCCTCGTCCACCTCGACAAACGCAACGTCGCCTAGGTCATACGTCGTCGTCGGCGGCGCCGGCGCCATGAAATCCGGCTTCGTCTTGGGTTGCCGCGGAATCTCATTAATGAGCGGCGGGATGCCCGTCTTGGAGTAGTCTACGGCCGTCGAGTGCAGCTCGGCCAGCTTGATGCACGTCGGGTCGTCCGCGCCTGCGGGCTGAATGTCGGCGTACATGAGATGCCGGTTGGCAATCAGCCCCAGCACGTCTGTGCGCATAAACTCGATGAAGAAGCTAGCAATATCGTCGCGCGTCACGTCGCGGTCCAGCGGCTGCGGTTTGTTACGCGGGTAGCTGGCGGGCGCAAAGACGCTGCGCGGCAGGGCGCCGCCATCCCAAATGACATTGTACTTGTCACCGTCGAGGTCACCGCCGCTCAGCTGACTCGGCAAATCGCGGCCGCCGCGCTGGCTAAAGACAATGCAGTTGCGCAGCGCCCGCAGCGGGTGCTTCTCGGGCGGTGTCACCATCTTGGCTAGCTGGATATCGCCCGGATGTAGCGCCGGCGACCGCGTCACGACAACGGGGCCGTCGACGAGCGAGTCCTCGATGCCGTCTTTGCGGCCCGGTGCTCGCCGGTCGTAGTGAATGTAAATCTCGCCCTCTTTCAGAAACCCCGTCTCGTCCATTACGCCAAACAGCGTCACACCCTTCTCAATGGGGATGCGCGCTTTGTGTTTGAGCAGCCGCAGCTCCCGCAGCACCACGTACTCAACGACGCCCTTGAGAAACGGATCCCCCCGGTAGTCGATACCGTGCGCGTGCATTCGCCGGATGAAGCGTGGCAGGCGGATGCTGGACCCGACGCCCTGGTACTCGAGAAACGTGCACGTGTTGGCTGCCGTCGCCGTCACGCCGCGCAGCGTCTCGAGCGCCTTGGCCTGCATGGCCCGGAACCAGGTCCGATTCGTGCCCATATCCTCGAGGATCTTGATCATCTGCCGGTTGAGTACCAGCCGCAGCGGCCGGGCGGCGACCTCGCAGATGCCAATCTCTACAAAGTCTCGGCTGGGGAATTTCATCATGGACTCGGCGCGGATGCAAATCTGCTTGCCCAGCAGCCGGGGGTCCAGGCTCAGCATGCCCTTGATGCCGGCGACACGAATCTGCACGCACGTGGGCGAGCCCAGGTTGAGCGGCAGCACGTCCCAAAACTCCTCGAGCGCGCCCTGCGAGATGGTGCCGACACCGTCGCTAAAGACTCGCGATTCGTCGACGTAGCTGCGCACGTCTTCAATGTAGCTGATGACGATGCTGCTACCGCGCAGCGACACAGCGTAGGGCGTCTCGGAAAAGGCCTGGCCGATACGGGCGGCGCACTTTGCTGGGATGCGAATCTCGCGGAAGTCGCCGAGCGAGTTGAGCACCGTGGCATAGTCTTGCCTCCCCATGCGGTTATCGACAAATGGTGCCATGAACCAGGCGGAGTGCGAGCGCAGGCTCGAGTGCGAGAAGCCGAGAAATGAGAAGCGGCGGCCGGCGACCTCGATGCCCTGCTTCATGACGCTGCGGTAGTGGTCGTAGACGTAGTCATTGGACACGCGATGGTTGAAGTTGAGGTCGGAGCCGTCCTCGTCGGTGAAGGTGACGCGCAGGAAGTAGTCTGTACGGTCGTGAAACATGCGCAGCACGCGGTTCTTGGACTCGGGGTCGGGGCCTCCCAAAATAACGCGCGTGGGCGTCACCATGGCCTTGAGCACCCAGGCCTGCTGCTTGGAGATGCTGTCGCCGAGGCGGCCGCTTGTGCCGCCGCTACTACTGCTACCGCCGTTACTGCTACTAATACGCGCGGGTTCTTCGCCACGCACCATGACGCTCTCAATGTCCATGACGCAGTTAAGCAGCTCAAAGGGGTCGAGCTCGTTGGCCTTGACGCC